AAATACGTAAAATAGTCATGATAAACGTTGGATGTTGAGATTCTGTCTCTTTCTTTCTCTCTGACACACTCTCTCTCTCATTTTTCCCTGCGACTAACAAACTTCTCAACCAGTAAGGGCGAAACAGAGTTTGACGTAAACTGTAGAAAATTCTCGTTACCTCTAGTTCTCTTTCCCCTCTCGTCATAACCACCCCATAAATAAGGGTGACTGATTTATCCAGAAACTGGTACAAATAATTGCAAAGTCCAAGACCAACTTAAAATGAGTTGTTACGTCTCATCAGTAGCATCTATTCGTCTAATGTGCAATTTTTCACAGATTTTCCACAGTTTCGCATTTTGCTTCCCCCACGTAGCTATTAATTTTGTTCTCATTCAGACTCTCATCAATATTTTCATATCAGCCGTTCCGAAAGTCCTATTTCAAATTTTACGCCTTCACTTTATCACTCGAATACTATCAGTCAAACTGACATACGAGTACCGACATACATATCTGCGTACGTGTATTGCGCATGTGATAGTACATAAGGCTCCATTGTTTGGTGTGACATCAGAAGTGACGTTATTTGGTTCTTCTCTTCTTTTTCCTCTCCTATATTCTCCAGAAGAGCACTCGTTCTCATCTGGGTCATGTCAAGCGTGTTAACTGTAGTACGGCAGAATAATACCGTGGGATTGATAATAGTAGGTACGGAGTTGTTGGGTACCAGTGCGTCTGCATTTTTTCTACCCTTTCTTTTATTATTTTTGTTTTTCACCATTTTCCTCTCTGCGCAATGGAATTTTCCAAATGAAATCGCACCCGCCCATATCGTTTATGTCATTGATGGGAAAACCACGTTTTCCGTTATTCAGTCCCTTTTTCCTTCATTTTTCCAATAATACCCATTTCAAGTTTCAGACTGGAATTTTTATTTTGTTAATTCTCGCTTAATACTCATATCAAACGAAATACGCGTGGGTAGTATGAATTGTATATGGTGCAGAAAAATAACTAATTCAAGCTTTCAGGAGAAAAAAGTGCTAAATCCAATTAATTTGAAATTGCATTTATAGCACCGTAGCACTTGTATATATATGTATAATGTACGTATAAAAAATTTTGATGCTAAAAATGGAAGCTCAGAATTAAAAAAACATGCAGGTGAGACATCGAAGCTGGAGCATCAGCATGGTCTATTAGCCAATCAGAATTCATTAGTAATGAAACAAAGGCTAGTGACTATAAATAGAGAATTGTGAGCGATACGGTTATAGAGAATTTTTCATTTTTTTTTTTTAATTATAATTATTAGTCATATCATTCGTAACTACGTAACTGTGAACAAAATTTGTTTCAAGTAAGAGTGCATTTCACAGGTCAGATTAATTTTGCAAATGTCTTTTAAAAATTCTATGGATAGACGTTATATGGACGTTTCATGGACATTTTGATAGAGGGGGCTGTACGTCAGTTGCAGCGAGTGTAAATTCACAGTGACATTCACGTCAGGGAAATTACCATGAGTTTCATTGAAATCGCGTATTTATTTATTATAAAGTGTCGCGTGCCACTGGTTTTTGCGAACGCAGCCATTTATCTCGAGGAAATTTGAACCTGCTTATATTCGCGAATCACGTTGCCAAATTGAATTCACAATGCAAACGAGAAGCGGCTAAAATAATGGAAAATTGCACTGCGCTACTTTTGGTGTCGTTTGAATTTAATGCTTTTCACGTTATCTCACCGCGAAACATTTTGGCGATACATTTTATTTCTCCTCTTTTAATGCGCCACTGCTGAAATACCTGGATAAAAAAAATTAGACAATGGTTTCAATCAGCGAGCGAATCAGTGACCGATGCATATTTTTTTGGATGACGTTACATTCCATACTCCCTTTACGTAACGTAACATAGCTATATCTATATACTCCATTTAACGATCTGACTCGTCAAGGTTTGAGAATTTAATTGATATTGAAACAGCAGATATTATTAGAATAAAGAAAAAAGAAGAACCTGACGTACCTGCCAGAAAATACTTTGTTGGTGATAGTTTGTTTTTTAAGCGAATGCTGATAATATCCTATTTATTTTAGCTTGAGCCACATGTCCGTTGGGCCAAGCGCGAGTCTAATTGCTGACGGCTGCTTTCAAAGTTCTGGAATAGATGGAAGTCCGCCTCAACGTCCAAATTACTAACAACGCTCTTCAGTCGGTAGAATTTCATGAGTTTTCCGAACACGTCACTTTAAATTAAAACGAGTGAGGATAGTCGCACTGTTCGCGAAAGAATAAATACAAGGGTTCATAAAAAGCGCCAAAATTCAAAAGCGTCACGGGACGAAGAAAATATTTTTTAATCTAGGATAAAGTGAAAAAATTAATTTTTTTTTCGTTAAATAAATATCAACCTTTACACCGTTACATCTAGGAAATACCAATTTCCCATATTGACTTTGAAGTAAAAAAAAAAATTATTTTTCACGACAGATCAAAAGAGCAACGAATACAGAACACGATACTCATTCCGTTTAGTCGAGCACAGTTGAATATTTAACGTATGTAGGAAACCATGTAAAATTCATCCAGCTGGTAAACAGACGTACGTCCACCCAGAGACCCACGCACGTTTCCACCCATGGGAATTCGTAAACGGGGTATCACGAGTCAAAGGCGACCGAAGCGAGTGACGTTGTTAAGTAAAAAAAAAGTCTCCACGAATAAAAATACCTATATCAAGAGAAACGTTATGAAAATCTCATATAATGTCCTATAAAAATATATTTGACACGCTCTTTGCATGTGTTTATGGAAAATTGATTTTTCTATGTGCAAATATAAACTTTCCAAGTCCCATCGGTGTCACAGCAATTTTCGCGGCGGTACGTGTCCCATTACGGAAAGCCGGGTATCGTGTTCTAGTCATTTCCATAATACAGTGAGAAGCGTTTGCTATGCCACTCGTATTTCTTATGCAGATGTCCAAAACAAACTGTTGCATTATTTTATGCATGGAAACTCCGCAGACGACGTCTGCGCGCGACATTCGTGTCTGTACGTTCGTTTTATAATCGAATTTGTAGTTTAAGCGGTTCACTCTTAGGAGGAAGAATTCTACGCTTATGTTTACCCACGTGTATACCTATAGTATATACACGGCAAGTATATAGATATATCACGTATAAAGTATTACAATAAACTAATGCATTTTGCTCTTAGTGCTTTAAGAATCCGCTAGGGTCGATAACGAAAAACGTCTCTGTTAATAAGGTAAACTGAATGTTAGTTGATTGTGACGGTTTTCATGATCCTTGCATAAGGTCTCTCGCAATAGTGATAATAGGGAAAATGACTATAACTAATAGCTGCACAATAGACGTGTATACCTATAGGAATGTACATATACATACTGTATGTATTGAGATACATGCATACCGCCAATGCGCCAACTGACGCTAGTAAATTAGTAGCTGCACCACACGCAGAATCGAAATTATCTTGCGAATACTGCAGTCGAACTGCAGTACTTGCAGCTGGCTTCCACATAGTGTTTTCTCCGGGTTGAGTTTCCTTTTGGTAATGCTCTACTGGTGCTGTATGTCTCTTTGTCTCTCTGTCTTTTTCTCTATTTCGCTTCCCATGACTCTTCACATTGGCTCTGAGTATTTTATAAAGGCGCATTGTACCTTCAGTACCGAAAGGACTGGACTATATGTGCAGCCGACAGGTAGGATTTGCTTTTTCAATTTTTACAAGCAATATGCAGATCGAGCTAGATTTCCTGAACGTACATACTTTGTACGTAAGCATACGTAGTTGCGAAATTTTTTCCCTGTTATTTATGCATATCTTATATTACGCTATACTTTTTCCCCGATCTTATGGCATATGTGGAATGAATATAAAAAATGATTTCGAATTGTATATAGGTACGTCTGTTATAAACGTTACGTAATAATTCGTTTATTTTCGATTCTTTATTAGTTATTATATAAGCACCCTAGTAACCTCTTATCGTGTCCTCTCAGAGAACGTGAGCCGCTGGTATAATTGGCCGAATTCTAATCTAAATCTTTATTTATGTACAGAGATTAGCATATTTGTTCGTGACCAGTAACCTAACCCTACCTGGAACACGATATCGGCTTTATGAGACGGCAGGTACGCGTTCCGTATAGCTTTGAACATATAAAGCAGCTTGGATATTTTAAGCTTCAATTACATGGACGGTTGAATGAAAATATATACGAGGAGTCCCGACGTCGCCTGCATATATTTTAACTCACGTGACGTTAATTGTCACAACAATCTCTATACGATATATACGTGTTACGTATTGGACAGCTTCGCATTGATAATTATATGAATTATGTAAATACGTTGGATCAATGATTTTACTTTAACGACAAGTCAATTATAATGTTTATAAGAATAGGGGATGGAGGGTGGATCGAGAAGGGGTTGAAAAATGTAAAATTAAAAAAAAAAGTAGGATTTCAGTGAAAAATGGGCTAATCCAATAGCACGTGGCTATTATGCACCCCTAACTGGGCCACTCGATAGCCTCGCGCACAGGGTGCTCCAAGGAGATAAGTGTTACGTTTATAGAGATATACAGCTATACTGTTCGCCAGGAGGTCACTCGGGGGTTGTTTTAGACGACGATAGGGATCTGGTCCTTTTTTTCACTTCTGCTTGAGCTACCGAATGGCGTGACGACCAAGAATAAACTAGCCGACGGTGCCTTATTAGCGGTACGTGACATTGTACATCAGTCCTAATCGTTTGGACACTCGAAATCTCATTGTAATTCAATTACATCAATTAGCAGACCCCATTAAGATTTCACGACGCACGACACAGTCGCCTTCAAAAATATCTTCCATGATGAGGGTTGACATTCTTAACATTGAGTTTGATGTTAATTATGGTACCTTTTTTTTTCAATATCACATTTACCGTACATAGGTGAACGATAGCATACTAATGAGATCCCGTGATTGGACTAACCTTATCTCTGATCTCTTGCCGCATCTTCTCCCTCTCCTCTTCCATTTTGCGATGCTTCTCCTTCCGTCTCTCCTCGGCTTCTCTGATGGCCTCCTGCCTCTCCCTCTCTGCCTCCTCTTCCTTCTCCTTATCATCTTCATCACCGCCGTCGCTACCTACCGCGCCTGTCAATCAAGGAGTCAGCCAATTAATAAATTAGTTTGGTAATTAATCACCGGTATTTTCTTATTCGAATTACAAATATTCTAAGGCTGCAGTGACGAATCATGGGTGTCAGGTGAGGTTATACTCGTCGACAGAAATTTTGCAAAGTTTGCAAGAATTTCGCGAAACTGGCTCAGGGATATAGGAATGCACTTTGGTTGCTCGTGTGTCGATGCACTTTGCACTTTATATCCAGTAACGTCGGTGGTGCATCTTATATGTATCATATAGAGGGGTTGTGTAAAGGGACGTGAGGAGCAGCGCAAGTGACAAGAGAATCCAAAATAATGGACCCTTGTTATATTCATCACCTGTACTATCTGGCCTATCTACTCGCCAATTTCGTCAGCCCCTTCGCTATGTCGTTAATAGACGTCACTCCCTTTTCCTTCTCCCGGAGGATTGACCTAGTAATGACCTTGCTCAACATTAACAACCCCAGAGGTCGTTTCCTCGATGACCTGCAAATTGTACCGCTCATCGGGAATCTTAATCGGAATTTGGCAGGGGTTGGTAACTTGGAGGGGAAAAAAATGAGCGCCAGTCTATTAGGAGTACCGAACATCGATTATCGATCGACATTCGATCCTGCTGACGCAGTCATACCTGGACGTAGTAGGTTCGCCTTTCAGCCATTTCCATGTAAGCATTTTACTTACAAAGGTTATCGGCGAGTGACTGCCATTACGGCCTTTCTGGGGGGGAAAAAAGAAATTGTCGCCGTCCATACTTTTTTTTTCTTTTACTTTCTCCCTCGGTCACTCACCAGAAGGGGGGTTGGTTGGTCTTACTCCGTTCGAGCTTTACGAAGTTTTATTAGTTTTGGTAAAAGATTAAGCAGGTTTGCGGAGAATTTTCTCACGCCGTTCTCTAACAACCAACTTCCGGCCATGCATACTTGACCAAGTCTATATTTATAACAGGTAACGAGTAACGCGTGCGCTACATCGACTTGCTTTGTCTTATCACGAAACTTTTAAGTTTGCATATTTCACTTCGTTTTGCACACTCGATACTTTTGCATAGTATAATTTTTATGGGAATAACTTTTTTCTTGTAACGAATTTATCCAAAGATCAATCATGGGAATCCAGTCTGGTCCAGGAATCCACGAAAATATTTACATCCTGCTACCTCATATTTCATATGCGTCTCTCGTATTATCGTCGTAGTCCCGGGAGAATTTCTACTGCGAAATTTACTTCAAAGGATCCTGCGAATCGTATAATATCCCAGGTAACACTTTCCTCTTCTCTGTCAAGCGCGCTACCTGGGAGCAGCTAATATTGGATACGTTGAAGACGACGTGAAAAAAAGAAGATAAAGAAGACGAGAGCACGTATCCTCTCTGTTCTCGACGAGAAAATAATTTTCCCATGCCTGCCGGCTATGGAGAAATTAATACGACTCTTGTCTGTCTTACTGTGTACGTATCTACTGCAAGCATGATCCCTGCTCTAAGGTTGTCGTCTGATTGTTTACTGCGCAAGTTATTGTGAACGAAGTACTTTGAAGTCTCATACAGATTCAACGCGTGCCTTCCCATACGACTTTCTATACCTTCAATCTCTCTCTGTTTATCACACCGGGTTTTGCTAAGCTTGTCTTTCTTAGTCCAATGTTTTCTACCACCCTGTGTATTTGCTGGATACATTGTATGCACATGCTGGGACTGTTTTAACACTATATATATGATTTACCTATGGGGCATATGCCAAAACGTACGTTGTGATAGCACCATGCAACGTAGTAGAATTTAGAAAGCCGGGAGCTACGAAGAATATTTTTTTTTTCTACAAGTGTGTCGCAGAAAATTTTCCATCGGGTACTCTACGACGAAAAAGTTTCATCCCCTGGTGGAAGCTGCCAAAGAATGTAAATGCTTCTTGGCATGTAGGCCAAGTGGCACATAGGTGTTTGCTACGTATGTACTGCTGTTGGTGCTCGTGGCGTTGACGTTGAGGTTCACGTTGGTGCCTTACTGCCAGAGGCAGAGTTTTGCCTCGTGTCGCGAAAGGCGCACATCATTACGGGAAATGAAAGCAGAGGCAAGCGAGTAGGAAGCAGGTTTGCAAAATTCCCAAGTAATTTTAATGATTGTGACTGTTTTTTTTTTCTAGTTTTTAATACCAGCCTTTATTCAAATATTTCGAATGGAAAGCGCGGGTTATTCGAATCTCGTATTTTTCATTCATTTGTTCTACGGCAACCAAGTGCACTGCAACGATACTCGTGCACGAATAAGGAAAAGTTATATGTTCGACGTACAGGAGAAATATATTTTTTGTAATTTTATTTTTTTTTGTGTACAGCATATATAGGAGAACCAGTAAAATGTATATATTCGAAATGCATGTACTTTGCCCGTGTTAATGATATATTTGAATATATGCGTCATAGACATAATATCATTGCAATATGAAAAATATATTTTTCGTCTTTGTTTTGGCATTGTTTTCTGCTATTTTGAATTTTGAAAATATAGCTGAATTTTCTCTCTACAAATATTATAAAGGACTCGTCGTCACGTTCGTTCCTTTTTGCCTGACAAGTTCGCCTAACAAGATGGCTCGGGAGGGAAGAGAAATGCATAATAATGGGGGGGGGGGATGTTCAAGAGGGAATAAAAAGAAGGGGAACCATGCGCAAAATACGCCTAATCAACCGTTAGGAAGCAGAAGAGTTGGCTGCTCTCGGGACCGATACAAAGAAGCTGGAGCAACTGGGGCACAGCTGGAATTATTAATCAGACGAGCAATTGAGTTTGCGGCTGTTCAACGGCTCGTGATTTTCATTTTTTTTGTCATTCAATTTCTTCCTCTTTATTGCTTTCTTCGCTTCGCTACGTACCGTGCATCCGTCCGTTCGACTAGGGAGGGTTTACTTATCGTACCAATACCACGAGCGTTAACGAATTTCAAAGCAACTTTTTATCAGTCTTGAAATTCTTGTCATTCCATTTTTTTCTCAATACTAATAAAAATTCCAGATAAATGGCTAATCGTTTACGTAAACATACCGTCCTATATTCTACAGAACGGAATATACGAAATTCTTCAAAACGGAATATATACGAAAGGGAGCTTTCGTTCTGTTTCAATAAAAACGCGAGGCGCTCTGCATTACGAAATTGGCACAGAATTGAGTTTACGGAAGTTAAGCCGTCTCCGTCAGCATCGTTGAATTCAACATTTTTCCGCAATAATTCCGCGAGCGACTAATTGAAATGATCCTCGCGCGTATCTCCCCTATAAATTATATGCCAACGAAAAACGTCAACGTAGACGCAACTTTTTGTTCCGTGCTACGAGAGACTTTTTTCTATTTCCAGAAACTGACGTATATCTTCTTTGGAAAAAAAATGAGGCTAGAAAATCCGAGGTCGAGCAGCCTTTACAAGAAAAAAAAAACGAGATCATAAAAGAAAAAAAATAATATTCATTATAGGAAGGAACCGCGTAACGTGATGGGATAAAGTATAGGAAAATATGCGAAGCTTGTCTGAGGCTTCGTTTAAAATCTGTCAGGTGGCAGCACCCTCGTCTCTCGTAAAATCGTTCATGGCGATCGTACCGCTGCCATGTATTATCACAGAAGTTTAAATATTTGAAAGGGTCCTGACACCGGTCTGTGTCGTCGCAGTGAGCAGTAGCGAATCTCCAAGGGCGTCAATAGGTGTTGCGAAGGTCAGAGGGAGGCTCAGTGCAAATTCTACAGAAGGTACGAGGACACGTAGTAGCAAGGGTTGCGAGGGATGACAATAAAAGAATAATAAGACGACATAAATTAATATAGAATTAGGGGATGATCCGATAATTTACTTAAATGGTCCCAACCCTCTCTAATTCAAGTTCCTTTCTTCGTCCCACCACCCCATTTCTATTCCCTACCAATTTGAGTCCTTCGGAATAGTAAATTCTCTCCCTCTACACTCTCTCGCCCTAATGCTATTCCGTTAAGTGATATCCACTCGAAAGTACATTGTTTGCGGATTAAGAACAATTTGAAAGCTTTCATAGGCATTAGCGAAGTTTCGGAATTCGTTACGGGTTTATTAGCCAGTTTAACCTATCCGTAGAATTTTGGCCTAAAATGAAATCCTTGAAATCTGGTTATCTCGAAAATTTTAATGATTTTCATTGCCCTGTCGCTGCGCGGAAGGGCATTCGAATATTAATATACACAGTGATCAAAATGTTCGTGCATTTATCCATTGCAGTGCTGGTACCGTTTAATAAGGGAGATTCATAGGTATTTCTAATTATAGCTAATCACGTGGTCCACTATGCTATATTAATTGAAACGACACATAGCTGCACATACGGAATGAAATGTCATAGCGAGTTTAATTGTTCCATCCCGATACATTAACTTCTCTTGAAAAGGAGAGATAACTAGTTGAACCAACTCATCGAGAATACAATACATCACTGTCCTTCTTCCTATTATGCGCAACGTCCCTGACACTTTGATAGAGGCGGCAGAGGGATGAAGGGTGATTCCTCCGTTAGGAAGGGTAAGTTTGATTTTAGAACAAAGGAACTGACATAAGCGGTTTCGGTATGGTTGGTTACGTCGGCTTCCTGTATGTATAGTATATATTGTACATGGTTATGTGCATATATTTATGTATATGGTGTAAATATATATGTATAGGAAACGACAATTTTTCTACCATGCCAGAAAAATAAAGTCGTTAAAACTCGAAAAGCAAAAGCCGTAAACAACGGATGTACACGATAAGAGGGCCAAGAGCCACCCCAACTATGGGACTGGTGGCTTTTGTTTTTCAATTTTGTCTTTTTATTTTTCTTTGCCATTTCACATTCCTCCCGTTTTTGTCTACCTCGTTTTTTATTCCCGCCGTCTCCGCTCACTCGACATGCCGTGGTTGGATAAACAGAGTGGTTACCGTCGCAGGAGACGAGTTTTTTAATAAGAACATTGGTAAATGGAAAGA